GGGAGGCGCCGGGAAAATCAGCTACGTGAGCTGATTCTCAAATCCTCCCTTTGCTATCCCCCCCTTTCGCCCGACCCGAGCGGGCCCTGGACTCCGAAGTCGAAGGAGAGCGCCGATGACCCTGGAATTTCGAGGGAGAACACTTGGACTGAAGACACACGCCGTCGGAGATCTGCGGTTTCTCCCTCCTGGAGCTCGTCCGGCCCGAGTGGAAGAGGACGACGAGGAGGAGGACGAAGGGGAGGCGGGAAAGGATGAGGCGTCTGATCAGTGCCTGGAGGCTCCAGGTCAGGGACCGTTCCCCTCTCGTGGAGCCGGGGCGTGAGTAGGAGGGGGAGTTTACCCGATCAGAACGCGGAGGAGGATTACCTGATCAGAGAGCGGAGGGGGGAGGGAGCGATGGCGATCGCTTGGGGGGAGGTCGCGATGGCGATCGCTCGTGGAAGGAATCTGAGGAGAAGGAGGGGTAGCAATGGCGAGCGCGGGGGGAGCTAGCGATGGCGATCGCTTGGTGAAGCACTGCTCGAATTCTGACAAGTATTCTAGTTTATGTCAGTAGTGCATTATGCACTCCTTCTGGCATCATGATGCACCTCTTCTGGCATCATGATGGTATCATGAGGCACCAGCCGGACCATAATAACAACTTATACCACCATGGGAACAAACCTGTTAACACAGATACAACACAACAATATCATGCTATCCTGCTATAGCATGTTATATATTGTGTCTTCATGTTGTTATTATGTGTGATTATCCTTTTTAGCCACCTGTTTTTCCTTTGCTGCCATGTATTGTCATCTCGGTTGGGGAGAAAGGATAACGAAGGATACGCATCTGATAACAGTAACGTAACTCTGTGCTTTACTTGCGGTGCATCGGCGACCTAGGTGGGTCGGAATATCTTCCTCCTCCTCCTCCTCCTCCTCCTCCTCCGCCTTTTCCTCCTCCTCGACCTCCTCCTCCTCCTCCTTTTCCCTCCCCTCTTTCTCCTCCTCCTCCTGCTCCTGCTCCTCCTCCCCTTCCTCCTCCTCAAATTCCTCCAGGTCCCCCCCTCACGAACGATCTCCATCGCTTCGCCCCTCCCCGCCGCCCCGCAAATCTTCGACTCCGCGCAGTTGCCTTGACTCGGCGCTGGGCCCTCGAGCTTAGGAAGCGTGGACTTTCGGATCTCCGCGCGGATTTCTTGCCTCGGCGCTGAAGAAGGAAAATACCAAGGGACATAAGGGCACAGAGGCCACGAAAGAGGAGGAGGAGGAGCAGAGCAAGAGTAAGGATGACAATGAAACTGAGGAAACCAACCAACCAAGAAGTTGAAGAAGTGAGCGCGGCGCGGAGCCTTCATCTCGCCTCCTCCCTCTTCTCCCCTCAAGCTACATCTTCGTACATCACGTAAACGTTAAGTACAGCTGTCGCTTGAGTCACTTACGTCGGCAACCTAGCCCTCAGTCGTGACTGAGCTACGTAGCGGAGATGCTTGAGAGAGTCATAGCTACGGCGCAAGTCGCACAAGAGGCCTCGGTCTCTAAGGCAGCACATGGTATACACACATCCCGCCGCGCTCCGCTCGCGACCCAAAGGGTCCCCACCCCTCTTTCTCTGTGCCTCTCTCCGCCGGCCGACCGGCGTCAGACTGTCCTCGACCGCAAGGCGCCCGCGGCCTTCAAAGTTCCCCGCTCCAGGGGCTCCGGGTCAAGGTTCTTCTGGCCCGAGAGGTCGTCGTCCCCCCTCCTCCCTCCTCTCTCTTATCCCTCCCCCTCCCCTCCCCTCCTCTCTCCTCCCTCCCACCCTCCCTCCTCCCTCCACTCCTCCTCATCGATAATCCTGACATTACTCTCTCCCTCATAATCGCCTCCTCCTCCTCCTCCGTCAGTCCTCCTCCCCTCCGCCCCTCCTCCTCCTCCTCCTCCTCCTCCTCATCCTCCTCCATCCCTCCCCCTTCACCTCTCCCTCCTCTTCTCCTCCTCCTCCGCCTCCTTCTCCTCCTCATCCTCCTCCCTCTCGCGATCCCCTCCTCCTCCTCCGTCCTCCTCCTTCCTCCTCCTCCCCTCCTCCTCCTCCTCCTCCTCCTCCTCCTCCTCCTCTCCTCCCCTCCTTCCCTCCTCACTCCTCCTCCTCCTCCTCCTTCCCTCCTCGTCCTCCTCCTCCTCCTCCTCCTGTCCTCCTCATGCTCCTCCTCCTCTGCTCCTCCTCCTCCTCCTCTCCTCCTCTTCCTCCTCCTCCTCCCTCCCCTCATTAACTTTCTCCTCCCTCCCTTCCCTCCACTTCCCCTCCCTCATCTCCTTCCTCCCCTCCCTCCCCCGAGAGTGAGGTCGAAGCGGGCGGTGCGCGAGGGCGGCTCCGGAAGAGCAGGCGCGCCGGCCTGCGCCGCGGCGCGCCGCGGCCCGCTGCTCGGGGCGCTGCGCCCGGGACCTCTGTGGGCGGCGCGCTCGCGCCGGGGGGGGGCGCCTGCGCGCGGGGTTGGGGGGACCTCCGAGAAGGCACGGGGGCTGCATCGGGAGGGTTTTTAAATTTAGGGGGAGGAGGAGGAGGAGGAGGAGGAGGAGTGAGGCAGGAGGAGGAGGAGGAGGAGGAGGAGGAGGAGGAGGGAGGAGGAGGAGGAGGAAGAGGAGGAGGAGGAGGAGGAGGAGGAGGAGGGAGGAGGAGGGGATCGAGGAGGAGGAGGAGGAGGAGGAAGCGAAAAGGAAAAGGAAAAGCACAAGGGAAATGAAAGGGCAGCTTGGAGTCGGCTGGGGGTCTGAAGTGGCCCAGCAGTGGCCCAGCGAGCAGGAGGGGGGGGGAGGTGGTTTGTCGCTGAGGGGTTCGAGGTGCTGGGTTCGAGGAGCTTTCTGTTTGCCTCTCTTGGTCCTGGGGGTCGTTTTCGGTTCCCTGGACTGTCAGAAACGGACCCGGGGTGAAAAGGTGCACCAGACGTGGACCCCCGGCGGGGTCCGAGGACCGATTTTGAACGGAGCTGCCCTTACCCACTCCTCCTTTTTGGCCGAGTTTCCCGAGGCCCATCCCGTTCAGACCCCCCGGCCGCCTCCACCACGGGGGCTTCCACCGAAGGACCATTTTTTTTGTGTGTGTGTGTGGGGGGGGGGCCAGCGGGCCAGCGGCGAAGGCGGACGTCAGCGCGATCGGTCGGGCAGTGGCACGCGAGGCACGGCGAAATGGAGGAGAGGGCGGGCGTCGAAGGAGAGAGCGCTCTGGGCCTCCCAGACGTGCTCGGAGCAGGTGGGGACGGAGGATCGCGCCGCATCGCCGATGCCTCGGCTGTGCGGCTCGATGTTGGGCCCGACCTTCTTCGCGCGGGCGTCGCCGCTGCATCGTCGACGTCGTAGAGGCATCGACGATGCATCGCCGATGCTTCGGCGATGCGGCGAGATCCGACGCCATGTGCTTCGACCCCACCTGGAAGGCGTCTCAACGCGGGGGGGAGGCCTCAGGCGGAGAGCGTCCTCGCCACGGCGAGCGCGCAGGCGGCCTCAGGGGGTCAGGCAACCGTCGCACTGGAAGGAGAGCCACCCGTGTGCAAACCGCGGAGGGAGACGGCGGCGAAGTTTCGAAGGAGCAAACACAAACGGCACAGCCGTACAGTGGAGGCCCATGCCAAGAAGCACCCTGTTCGCCTCCAGGGCGCCCTTGGTTTCTTGGGCTTCGATGTTTTTGTTTGCGATGGAGAGCGTGACGTTCCCTCACTCAAAAATCCATGGACGTCCTGGGGTTCCAGGGTTGGGTGTCTTGTGGAAGGTTTCTTGTAGTGGGGCCCCTATGCGATGTGCGGTACGGCGGTTTCTGAGAAGCACCCGGGATGCTTCCGAGACGGCCTCACGACAAACCCAGGCCCTTCTGAGAAGGCACCCTCACCATATGACCGCCCCCCCTGCCCCGACCTTCCAGGACGGCCGCCTCCACCCCCCGGCCATCCCCCCTTGCGCACCGCCAGAAGGGCGGGGTACCGAGGATCGACGTCCGAGGACCGAGGATGCAGGCGCCAGGACCCCATGCCAGGGGTCGAGGCTCGAGGCTCGAGGCCAGAGGGCCGAGCTCCGAGGTTCGAGGGCCGACGACCGAGGATCGAGTACCCAGGGTCGACTGCCGAGGATCGAGAACCGAGCGCCGCCCAGCCCAGGAGCCTGCACCCGCCGCCGCCAGCCGCGGGAGACCCCAGGGAGGCGGTGCTCGGCAGGGACCTGCAGGTCCGCCACGTCGTGCTCCAGGCCGCCCACGGCGCCCTGCAGCTGGAGCACGAGGCGCTGCGGCAGAGGCGCCCGCGGCCCGCCCCCTCCTGCCTCTTCCTCCTCCCTCCTTCCCCTCCTGCCTCCTCCTCCTCCTCCTCCTCCTCCTCCTGCTGCTGCTGCTGCTCCTCCTCCTCCTCTCCCCTCTCCTCCTCTCCTCCTCCTCCTCTCCTCCTCCTACCCCTCCTGCCTCCTCTGCCTCTGCCTCCTGCCTCCTTCTCCTTCCTCTTCCTCCTTCCTCCTTCCTCCTCCTCCTCCTCCTCCTCATCCTCCTCCTCCTCCTCCTCCTCCTCCTCCTCCTCTCCCTCCTCTCCCCTCCTCCTCCCCCTCCCCTCCCCCTCCCCTCCCCCTCCCCCTCCCCCTCCCCTCCCCTCCCCCTCCCCCTCCCTTCCCCCTCCTTTCCTGCTCCTCCCTCCCTCCCCTCCTCCCCCCTCCCCACTCCCTCTATTCTTCTTCTCCTCCTCCTACCTCCTCCTCCTCCTCCTCCTCCTCCTCCTCCTCCATCTCCCCTCCTCCTCCTCCTCTCCTCCTCCTCCCGCCTCTCCTCCTCCTCTTCCTCATTTCCTCCTCCTCTCCTCCTACTCCTCTTCCTATCCCTTCCCCTCACTCCCCTCCCTCCCCCTCCCTCCTCCCTCCACTCCCCTCCCTCCCTCCCTCCCCTCCCCTCCCTCCCCTCCCCCTCCCATTGCCTCCTCCTTCCTCCTCCTCTCCTCCTCCTCCGCCTCCTTCTCATCCTCCTCATCCCTCCTCCTCCTCCTCTCTGTTCTCCTCCTCCTCTTACTCATCCTGCTTCTCCTCTCTCCTCTCCCATCCTCATCCTCCTTCCTCCTCCTCATCCTTCCTCTCCTCTCTTCCTCCTCCTCCTTCCCTCCTCCTCTCTCCTCCTCCTCTTTTCCTCCTCCTCCTCCTCCTCCTCCTCCCCTTCCTCCTCCCCCTCCTCCTTTTCCTCCCCTCCTCCTCCTCTCCTCCTCCTCCTCCTCTCTCCTCCTCTCTCTTGTGACTGCTGCTGCTGCCCTCCTCCCTTCATGATCCTCTCCTCCCTCCTCCTCCGCCTCCTCCTCCTCTCCTCCCCTCTCTCCTTTTGTGCCTCCTCCTCCTCCCTCCTTCCTATCCCTCCCTCCCTCCCTCCCTCCCTCCCTCCCTCCCTCCCTCCTTCCTCCTTCTCTTCCTCCTGCTCCTCCTCGCCACGGCCCCGAAGCCTTCGAGTCCAAGGGGGGCTCCAGGGCAGCCCAGGCGCCCGCGCCGCACGGCCGGCGCGACGGGCCGCCCGCGCGCCCACGCGCCCGGCCCCGCGGCTACGCCGCCGCCGGGCGGGGGCCGGGCAGCCGCTGGCGCTTC